ATCAATAGGAAAATAGCAAAATTGTGGTATAGTCATAAAATGTAAGACTTCAGCAGTAAAAATGAATGAATGACAGCCTCACACCCAAGGGATAACTCTCCTACACAAACCTGAGTCACAGAAGAATCCATGCAGTAAGGGTTCACTGTACAGGAAGTTCAAAAACAGGCAAAACTAAGCAATATTTGGTTTGGGGATATGTACACTTATTGCAAAATCTTTAGAGAGACTCAAGGGAATAGTAAACACAAGAACAGGACAGAGGTTACATCTGGGGGATGGGAGTGGACAGGCACCCACGGTGGCTTCATAGGTTCTGTTTCTTACAACAGTGGTGGGTGCCCAGGAATTTATGTGATCATAACTTTGTAAACTGGCATGTTTCAAACTGCAGCTTGTGAAACATTCCTGGTTAATTTTTTAAAAACGAAAGAGAAGAGAAAATACTAAAGTTCATTGAAAAGATCCTTAGAGGAACTACTCACATTGGAGCAAAGCCCCAGCAAACTTTATGTGTCATGTGAGAGAGAGAGCCAGGATGCCATAAAAAATAGCACTTGCTAGAAGTGGGTCATTAGATCCTTTGCTCACTGGTATCTCTAAGATTTTCTGGTAGACAATGTTCAATCTGATGTGCAAGGTAATTCTATCTTGAGAAGGATTTGATGTGTTATTTACATTTAACCTCACATAGAACTGAATTAACTACTTTTACAGAAGTGAAAAAGCACATCGTTGAGCAATATAAACTAAACTGGAAAACATTAAAAAGGGACAACCAGTGATAGAATAGAAAGTGTGAATGGAAAACACAATAAAGCTGCTTTAAAAAACTTGAGAGGCACATATTAACAGTGCTCTTAGAAGCACATTGGTGTCCAAATCACTTCTACCTAATCTCATTCCAAAACATAGTGAAAGACGTTAAATTTATTATAAGATGCAACTGAATAGCCAGTTTTGGAAAACTATTCCTAGATTGGAGTTAACCATTTCTGCCTACTGCATCCCACGAAAATTGTTGTCATGAGGCTAAACTAGGTGCACAGACTGAGGTATGAGACTCACATTTTTCTAACTGAGAAGCAATTTCAATAGGCAACTATTTGTGAATTTGATGTTAAGTAAGAAAATTGGTATGTTAGCCAATATTTTTGACATTCTTAACAAACTAAATTGGCACTTCTAAAGAAAAACAAAAATAGTTATTATTTTAAAGGCATTATTGTCATGACACCCACTTCTTGGAAGTATAGTATTTGATCTAGTTACTATACTCAACTTTGTTGCAACTTATTGAAGGCAACATTATTAAATGAAATTGCAAGAAAAACTTATAAATATTGCTGTATTTCCTCTTCTGTCTCAAACTTTTAATCATTATTTTCCAAAAGAGAAATGTAAGCATTAAAGAAAAATGATCAGATATGAGAAGCATTGATTTACCAAATCTTGAAACAGTATTTAATTCAAATTTTGGTTTTAACATGTATGCAAATTCTTTGATACTCCTCCCTCCAGAGGTGGAGCTTAATTCCCTCCTCTTCAATGTGGGCTACACTTAGTAACTCACTGCTAACTGATAGAGTAAGGCTGATGGAATGGGGTGTGACTCTGGGTCTAGGACATAAAACACATTGCAGCTTCCATCTTGGTTGCTCTCTCTCTCAGATCACTTGCTCTGGGAGAATCCAGCTACCTAGTCATTAGCCACCTTATGGAAAAGTCCACATGGCTAGGAATTGAGGTCTCCTGGGACCATCCAGGAAGGAAATGAGGCGTCTTCCAACAGCCATATGAAAGAGTCATGTTTCCTGCAAATCCTCCAGCCCCACTCAAACCATCAGATGATGCAGCCCCCAGTGACAACTTGACTGCAACCCTGAGACAGGCCCTGAGCCAGAAGCACTCAGGTATACCTCTCCTGGATTCCTGACCCTGGGAAATTGTGGGAGATAATACACATTTGTTGTTTTGAGCTGCTAAATTTTGGGTATCTGTTATACTGTGATACATAACTAATACAGCGTCCAAAGAGAGAGTGAATTATTACACTTTAATTTTTGTTTGCTCTAAATAATTTACAGTACTCCCCTTATCCTCGGTTTCACTTTCCATGGTTTCAGTTACCCAAGGTCAACTCTGGTCCAAAATGATTAAGTGGAAAATTCCAGAAATAAACAATTCATAAGTTTTAAATTGAGTGCTGTTCTGAGTAGCATGGTGAAATCTTGCACCATCCTGCTCTGTCCCATCTGGGACACGAATCATCCTTTTGTCCAGCGTATCTACACTGTATACGCTACCTGCCCATTGGTCATTTAGCAGCCATCTCAGTTATCAGATCAACTGTCCCGGTATCATAGTGCTTATGTTCAAGTAACCTTTATTTTTTAATAATGGCCCCAAAGTGCAAGAGTATATACAGGATAAAACATAGTATACATAGGGTTCAGTAGCATCCACAGTTTCATGCGTCCACTGGGGGGTCTTGGAGTGTATCCCTGCAGATAAAGGGGACTACTGTATAAGATATTAAATATGTCATTTGATTTAAGAAGAATTTCCATGGCTAACAGACAGGATGAATTTTATTAATATTTACAACAATCTATTTATTTGAACTTCCATTTCCAGCCATGACCTAATTAAACACAAAAGAAAGAACCAGACCATGCTAGGCTGATTCTATGATGGTCCACAACAACCACCCCCTAGTTATTTACCTTCCCCCCAGTTATTCAATGATATACTAATGTAAGTGCTGCTGTGAAGGGATTATGCAGATGAAACTAAGGTCTCAAATCAGTTGACCTGAAGACAGGGGGATTCTCCTGAGTTAGAGTGTCCTCATCAGGTGAGCCCTTAAAAGGACTGGGTTCTTCCTGAGCAAAGAGATTCAAAGTGTGAAAGGGATTCAATGTGAGGGAATTTCTCCGCTGTGGGCTTTGAAAATGGAGGCCACATGGCAAAGAATGCTGGTGGCCACTAGGTGTTGTCAGCAGCCCTCCCCCGGCTCCTTGTTGACAGTTGCCAAGGAAACAGGGTCCTCAGTCCTACAACTACAAGAAACTGAATTCTGCTAACAACCTCTGTATAAGCTTAGAGGAGGATCCTGAGCTCAAGATGAGAACTCAGCCTTGTGAGACCCTGAACAGAGAACCCATCCACACCATGCCTGGATTTCTCACTAAGGAACTGTAAGCAAATAAATGGGTGTTGTTTTGACTAAGTCATGGTCATTTGTTATGCAGTAATAGAAACTAATACACAGGCTCACTGTGCCACAGATAAGCACATAGAATTTTTTCCACAGGAATGAATTTATGAATAGATATGCACATTAGGTGAATGCAATAAAATCTTTCCTACCTGTTTTTGTGTTTTTCATTTACGATTTTTACATAGCACAATTAAATTTTAAAAAATAATATTTGATTCATGCATTCATTCAACAACAACTAACTTAATGCCTACTCTGTACCAGGAACAGCTTTACATGCTGGGGATATACTTTGACCTAAATAGCCCAAAGGCCCTGTCTTACATTCTAGAGGCTTCCCAAGAGTGAGACTGAGCCATTGGAGCACTTTAGTGAAGAAATGACACATCCTGACTCACATTAGCAGGATCACTGACCCCTGTGGGGAGAAGAGTCCTTGGGTGGCAGGTGAGGGGGTAGCACTGGTGCCACAGTTCAGGAGTGAGAGGGTGTGGAGACTAAGGGGAGAAGAGGGGCCGAGGGGTGAGAGGGACAGAGCAGAAGCAGGGGTGAGGAAAAGAAGCAGAGGTAAAGAATTCTAAAGCAGTGGAATTCTCAGATTTAATCATATAGTTTTACAAATCTTTAATAAATATATCTACAAGCCCAGCAAGATATTCTTTACATTTGCTATTTACTTCATTCTATGGAGCTGTCTAAAAACTAATTGCCTCCTTATGTTAATCAGTTTAAAAAATAATCACAAATGTCCCGATAAAATACGCACACTGCTTAGATGTGAACAATTCGTAAAAGAACGCAATGCATGAGCACTGGTGAAGGGCTTTTGACTCCATTGAAAACTTGCAACTTTGAGATGATTGGTACACAGTAACAAACTGTACTTCCATGAGCTTCTTTGTACTGAGGATATGAGGGGACTCACACAGACACACTCAGGGCTACGGAATGAAGATCATTTTAAAATACAACAAACTGGAGTCACAGACATACTGTCTGGGAAAGTAAAATTTAGGAGCTTTGTGAGGCTGACTACAGTGCTATTTAGACACTTTTATATATGAAGGGGCCAAAATCACTTCTTTTACAGATTAGATTCCTGATGTTCAGGATTTTCAAGATTGTGTTACCCCCTGTGGTTAATGAACGAAAAGGAACCTGGTGTCTAGGAGAATCTCTATCTGGTCTTTTCAGGCACAACTTCTCCAAGATTCAAAGAGAAAATCCCTGTCCCTCAACCTTCATTCCCAGGGCGAGCTCACTCACTGGCATCAAGTTCCCTAGGGGTGAGTTTTCTTCTAGAAGAGTCCAGGTGGAGAGGTAAAGGGTGAGAGGTAGGGAGTCCATTTCAGGAAGAGTGATCCAGTGAGAGGAGGAAAAGGGGCTGAGCCCAGCCTGGGTGCTCTCTCTCTGGTTTCCTCAGACAGTCCCGGGGCCCAGACAGTCCCGGGGCCAGGACTCAGGGAAACAGCGTGACAAAGAGCTCTCAGTGCAGGAGGAGAGGGGTCAGGGCAGAATCCCAGGTCCCCAGACGTGGCTTTCAGGGTCTCAGCCCAAGGGCGGTGTCTGGAGCCGGGAAGCTCACTGTTGGGGAGTCTCCATCTCCCTGAGGTTCACTTCTCCCTCTCACAATCTGAGTCAGGGTCTCCTGCCTGGAGACTCACGACGCGGCCCCGGTTCTCGCTCCCATTGCGTGTCCGGTTTCTAGAGAAGCCAATCAGAGTGTCCACGTTTCCCGGTTATAAAGTCTCCACGGACCCGTCAGGACTCAGATTCTCCCCAGACTCCGAGCATGCGGACCATGGCGCTGGGAAGCTTCCTCCTGCTGCTCTCGGGGACCCTGACCCTGACCGAGACCTGGGCGGGTGCGTGCGGGGTCGGGAGGAAACGGCCTCTGCTGGGGGCAGAGCGAGGGGACTGCTTGGCGGGGACGCAGGACCCTGGGGAAGACCCAGACCCCTCACCTCGGCCCTGCCCTGTCCTGACTCCTCCCTTCTCATGCCCCCTCCTCTTCCCACGCATAAGTCCTCCCCGTTCTCCGTCCCACCGCCCTTTTTTGGTCTCAGGAGCCCCTTGTCCCCCTCCTCCGCCCCGACCCGATCAACCTCGGCCCCGGGGACCCGCGCAGGGACGAGGGTCCGGCCGGGTCTCAGCCCCTCCCCGCCCCCAGGCTCCCACTCCCTGAGATATTTCAACACCGCCGTGTCCCGGCCCGGCCGCGGGGAGCCCCGCTTCATCGTCGTCGGCTACGTGGACGACACGCAGTTCGTGCGGTTCGACAGCGACGCCGCGAGTCCGAGGATGGAGCCGCGGGCGCCGTGGATGGAGCAGGAGGGGCCGGAGTATTGGGAGGAAGAGACGCGGACCGCCAAGAACAACGCACAGATTTTCCGAGTGGACCTGAACAACCTGCGCGGCTACTACAACCAGAGCGAGGCCGGTGAGCGACGCGGGCCCGGGTCCAGGTCACGATCCCCACCCCCAAGGACAGGCCAGAGTTGCACGAGTCTCCGGGTACGAGATTCACTCCAACGCTACTGGAGTCTCCCGGCACTTCCACCAGGGTAGAGCCCACGGGGACTTTTACTCGGTTTCCTTTTCAGTTTAGGCTTAACCACTGAGAGTGGTCAGGGCGTGGGGGTGGCCACTGTGTGGGGCTGACCACGGGGGCGGGGTCAGGGTCTCACACTGTTCAGTGGATGTATGCCTGCGACGTGGGGCCGGACGGGCGCCTCCTCCGCGGGTATGAACAGTTCGCCTACGACGGCGTCGATTACCTCGCCCTGAACGAGGACCTTCGTTCCTGGACCGCGGCGGACACGGCGGCTCAGATCACCCGGCGCAAGTGGGAGGCGGCCGGTGTGGCGGAGCACGACAGGAACTACCTGGAGGGCAAGTGCGTGGAGTGGCTCCTCAGATACCTGGAGAACGGGAAGGAGACGCTGCAGCGTGCAGGTAAGAAGAGCCTCCTACAAGGAGAGGAGAAAATAGGATGACACCTGAATACGCCCGTCCCGTGGGTGGGTCGGGAGATTGAGTCCGCTTGGGTTTTCAGATCTGGTACCAGAGAGTGACTTCTTAGAGGACCCGCCTTTGTCTAAAGGACAATAAAGGGATACAATCTCTCCGGGGATGGCGGGGGAAACCATCCCTGAAAATACTTACCAGCGGTTCCCTTTGCCTCTGGCAGTGGCTCTGGAAACCATGGGGGGCTCTCTCAGACCTTTTTCTCTGCCCCAAACCCAATGTGTTTGAGGTCTGACTCCAGCTTTTCTGAGTCACTCGGCCTCCACCCAAGTCAGGACCAGAAATTCCTTTTCTCCCCTTCAGAGACCTGCCTCCTACCCTGGGCTGTCTCATACGGATTCCAGAAATATCCAAACAATACAGATTATCCCAGAAGCTTGTGTCCGGGCTGGTGTCTGGGTTTTGTGCTTCCTTCCCCCACCCCAGTTGTCCTGTCCATTCTCAGGATGGTCACATAAGCACTGCTTCAGTGGCCCCAAGAGGGATGTAAAATTCCTGAATTTTCTGCCCTTCTTCTCAGACCCTCCAAAGACACGTGTGACCTACCACCCTATCTCTGACCGTGAGGTCACCCTGAGGTGCTGGGCCCTGGGCTTCTCCCCTGCGGAGATCACCCTGACCTGGCAGCATGATGGGGAGGACCTGACCCAGGACACCGAGTTTGTGGAGACCAGGCCTGCAGGGGACGGGACCTTCCAGAAGTGGGCGGCTGTGGTGGTGCCTTCTGAAGAGGAGCAGAGATACACCTGCCATGTGCAGCACAAGGGGCTGCCTGAGCCCATCACCCTGAGATGGGGTAAGGAGGGAAACATGGGCTCAGAGCCTCTTCTCGGGGAAACCAGGAGCCCTTCTGGAGACCTTCAGTGTGGTGGTGGCTAAAGCCGGGGGTGAGTGCCCTCACTTTCCCTTCTCTTCCCAGAGCCATCTCCTGTGTCCTCATGGTGGGCATCATTGCTAGCATGGTTCTCTTCACGGTCACTGTAGCTGTGGTGGCTGGAGTTGTGATCTGGAGGAAGAAGCGCTCAGGTAGGGAATAGGTGTGGTCTGAGTTTTCTTGTCACACTGGGGGGTTTCAAGTCCAAGTAGAAGTTTGCCCTGCCTGGTTAATGGGAAGTCCCATCCACAGGCACACGTGCTTTCCTCGCCTAGGACCCTATTTGCTAACACTTACTCTTTAGTAAAGTGCATGTGAAAACGAAGGACAAATTTATCACTTTGATGAGTCTGGGGATGGGGACCTGATTCTCAGCAGTCACAGGACAGAGGGGAAGGTGCCTGCTGAGGGCGGACCTGCAGGAGGGCAGTTGGTCTGTAGGTGAACATAAGTGAGGCCATCGTGTCATGCTAAATGACCCTTTCCTAGTTAAAACCCTTCTAGCATGTAATCATTATAAATTACTACACGTTTTCATGATTTTATGGCCCTGACCCTGTGCACATACCCCTGCTGAGGTACTCTGATAGCTTTGTTCTTAACAATCTTAACACCTTTTCCAAAGGAACAAGAAGGCCTCCAGGAGGAACACAGTGAGGATATTCATCATCACTGAGAGAAGAAAAGAACAATGAAAGACTCTAGAGTCCGTCATGCCTGAAGGCTGACATTTCTAACCCCCCTCCTTACTGCTCATTTTCCCTATATAATCTGCCTCAAGATTCTGGAATTCTTTAAGATGGTTTTTTGAGATTAGTCTGCCATCTTCCGATTATGCTGGCTAATCAAATAAAAGCTTCCTTTCTCTATCTCTAACTCTTTGTGATTAATTGGCTCAGATTGCAGTGAGCAGAGCGAGCCTATTGCTCAGTAACAAATTCTTGGTGACTGAGATGGGACCATAGCATCTGCCTGTGGCTGATCCACTTGAAAGAAGCTGATTCAAGAATTTCCCAGCAGCTGCCAGGCAGCTTTTTCTGCCCAGGGAATTCCCCTTGTTTCTTCCTCACTTGCTGACTGGGACACGAAGGACTGGATCCTGAGCTGATGAGCTTGCCTCTGCAGCTAGGTGAGTCATCTGGAGTGCACTCCCAGGTACTATATTCCTTTTCTCTTGTCTGGGGGCCTTGGTCAGGCTGAGGTACATCTGGTTTAGGCACCATTGTTTAGGAATAAAGGAGAGTATAGACTGCATAGTGTACTACCTTGGAGACTAGTATCTGGTTTCTCTATGGTATGCACCCCTGTGTGTTCTGTTCTCCTGAATGTGTGTGTTGTTCCACTAGTCTGCATGCCAGTTTTTCTCTCTGTCAGAGTTCTACAGCATACTTTCAGTGCCTGTTACCTCATCCATGGGGACATGAAGTATGCGATCTTTTCTGTCGAGTGTCAAGGCAGAATTGTATGCCTCAATGTGGGCACTACTGTTTGTGTGTTCCCTATCTTTATAATCCTTTGGAGGAAGCCGTGAGAGCACAGTCTGACCATCTTTTCCCCCCTCTTTGTTTGTCTTGTCTGGCATCTTCTTTGCTGTCATTGTGTAGAAGTTAGGTTTGGGCTTAAAGTAAGCTGGACTTGCACTTTCTGCAAAATAGAAGATTTTAAAACTTTCTGCCAGGCACCTGACCCTCTGCACTGGCATTGGGAAATTAGATCTTTACCCTGCCTTAAACCATTACCTGTTGCCTCTTTGGCTTGTTTAGCACTGGTGCAAGAAGTATGTGCTTGGGCGGAGTGGGATTTGGACAAGTCCTATAGTTATCTGGACACATGGAGTTGAGCCCTGCACCCTTCTCCCGGTCTGTTAATTGTTGGACACAAGCTTTATTGCCATGGGTGCCACTCTGTCCATCCCAAGAAAAATCCTGTTAGGATGCATACTGGCCACTTGGGCTGATTTCAGTTATGAGCCCATGACAAAGAAAGAGATGATCTTTCACTGTAATGTAGGCTGGCCCAGTATACACTAGGCTCAGGAGAAAAGTGGCCCCCAAACAGGTCGCTCAATTATGATACCATCTTACAGCTAGAATTATTCTGCCAGACGGAAGAAAAAGATGATGAAATCCCCTACATTCAAGCCTTTATGCTATTATGTCTAGACCAGGGAAAAGGGGCAATGGACTAGGAGTTACCTAATTGTGCAAAGACCCCTGTTATGTCAGAGGGACTGAAGGAAGATGAGGATTTAATGGTCCTACAAACTCTAAACCCTCCAACAGCACCCCCAGTTCCTTCTCCTCCTCTGCCTTTCCCGGGACCACATTTCCAACAAGGAGAAATGCCTGAGAGCCCCCTCCCTCTCGAACCTGGCAAGGCACCCAATTCGATCAGGGAGTCCTTCCCAGAGTGGGGCAATTTCCACTGTGGCAATATCCCATAGGCATAAATGGACGGGGGCAACCAGCTGGCTTTGTTTGGATGCACTCTCCCTTCTCCACTTCAGACCTCTTTAGTTGCAAAAATAATAAACTGCCATACGGTGAGAATCCCCAAAGAATGACTGACATTTTTTTTCTATATTTTATACATATCACCCCACATCAGCAGATATACATATTTTGATAAACACGCTCCTCATGGGGGATGAAAAATGGATGGCGATAGGCAAAGCTACAGAAGAAGATAACAGGCTCCATATAGCTGATCCTGATGGTATCTTAGAGGCCACTGCTACCGTTCCTATTGCCGAGCTGTCCTGGGATCCCAACGAGGCAGCAGGAAGGGCTAGGTAGAAACACTACAGAAAATGCATCTTGGCAGGGCTAAAAATGGGGGTCCCTAAGCAGAAAAGCCTAAATGAAGGACAGGGAATTCAGCAAAAGCCTGATGAGGATCCCTCTGAATTCCTGCAGTGTAAATATCAGGCTTATGGGCGTTACACGGACGCTGATCCCGAGGCCCCAGAGAACACACAGATGGTCAATTTGACCTTCATAGGACAAAGTGCTCCTGTTATTCAGAATAAATTGCAAAAGTTTGATGGAGCATTGGGATGAATCTCTCCCAGCCGGTAGATATTACTTTCAAGGTGTATAATAACAGAGAGCACAAAACAAAGCAAAAGGATCCAAAACGGAGTCCTGCCCTTCTTGCAGCTGACTGGGAGAGGAGCAGTTCCCAGAAGCAAGACGCCTGATCAGAGGAATGGAAGTAAGCCCTTTCTGGGAAAAAACCAGTGTGCCTACTGCAAGGAAGAAGGACACTGGAATAGAGAGTGCCCCAAGATGGGAAAGTGAAATGTTGATGATAAGAGGAGAAGGATAACTCAGATGGTTAGCAGGACTGGAGATTCAGATGAAGAATGAGGGTGCCCAGGAACCCAATTGGACTTTCATCATCCCATCCCCATCTCCACACAAGAGTTCCGAGTACAATTGACAGTGGGGAATTGGCTTGCTAACTTTTTGATAGATACAGGAGCCACTTATTCAGTTTTGAACACTAAATTAGGTAAAAAGTCACTCTGGTGATTGCAATATCAGGAGAAATTCAACAGCGGTCTTTTCCCTGACCCCTGGAATATCAAGTCAGAGACAAAACATTGCAACGCCGTTTTTTATATATGTCTGAATGCCCTATTCCCTTTGTGGGATGACACCTTCTACGTAAACTGAATACTCAAGTGACTTTTGCTCCAGGCCAGCTAGAGGTGCAAGTGCCACCCAGACCATCTTTATGGTTTTAGGTAGCCCTGCTAGGTGTTCAAACACCACTGCCAGACCCACTGCCACCAGAAATTCTCAGGGAGGTAAAACCAGACATGTCGGCAGATGGGAAGCCTGGGAAAGCAAAGAATGTCCAGCCAATACACATACACTTGAAAACCTAAAGGATAAAACCTAGCCTGAAACAATATCTGCTAAAACAGGAGGCTCAGAAGGGTATTCAGCTCGTTCTTCAGAAATTCTTGGTGGCAGGATTAATCAGACCTTGCCAGTCGCCGTATAATACTCTTATTCACCTGGTCAAGAAACCCAATTCAGATGAATATCAGTTTGCTCAGCACCTTCATGCTGTAAGTGAGGTGGTTCAGGACCTGCATCCTGTGGTGTCCAGCCTTTACACCTTGGTAACCAACACTCTGGGTAAATACGGCTGGTTTTCAGTTTTGGACTTACAAGAAGCATTCTTCTGCATACCGCTTGTGGAAGAATCACACCAACTCTATGCCTTTGAATGACGTGACCCTGATACTCAGGCCACTCAACAATATTGTTGGACAGTGCCCCCCCAAGGTTTCAAAAACTCCTCTACACAATTTGGGGAGGCCCTAGCTAAAGGCTTGAGCCACTTACAATTACAAGAAGGATTGCTATTGGAGTACATGGATGACTTGCTGATAGAGAGCCCCACTTATGAGCAGTGTCTGACCAATAAGGACGTTAAATAGTTTGGCTGAATGTGGGTACCAGGTCTCACAAGAGAAAGCACAGATCTGCAAACAAAAAGTTACATACTTAGTACTTACCTTATCAAAAGGCCAAAGGCAATTCACCCCGGGCCAACCCACCATGGTATATGTGCCACATCAAGTACTCAAATTATTGGAACAAAAAGGGGGATACTGGCTCACTTCAGGAAGGATGGGCAAATACCAGGCCATCCTTTTGGACAATCCAAATGCAGAGATGCAAGTATCATCCTCCCTAAACCCAGCTATCTTGCTCCCTAATGAGACATCAGAAGCCTTAGAACATGACTTCTTACAAGTTATCGAGGGTGTATTCTAGCCAATCTGATTTGTTGGACTGTCCACTGGAAGAACCAGACTTGGAACTCTTCACAGATGGCAGCAGCTTCATGGATCAAGGTAAGAGATGAACAGGGTATATGCTCATAAGTTTACAAGAGACTTTAGAGGCTAAAGCCCTACCCCCAGGGACATCGGCTCAAAAGGTGGAGATATCAGCCTCACTCAGGCTCTACATTTAGCTCAAGGGAAAAGAGTAAATATATATAGCTTCCCATTATGCCTTTGCTGTAGTTCATGCTCATGGGGCCATCTGGAAAGAAAGGGGACTCTTATCAGCAGGGAAAGAAACCAGACATGACCCTGAAATCCTAGAAATGCTTGATGCTATTAATGAGCTTACTCAGGTA